TATATATATATATATATATATATATATATATATATATATATATATATATATATATATATATATATATATATATATTTATATATATATATATATATATATATATATATATATATATATATATATATATATATATATATATATATATATATATATATATATATATATATATATATATATATATATATATATATATATATATATATATATATATATATATATATATATATATATATATATATATATATATATATATATATACCAATCCCATATAATTTAAAATGCTGAATAAGAAGGAAATTTCATGCGTACAGACGTTCCTGTAGGGTAAATCCATATGAAGTCTGTGTGTTCTAGTGAGCCCCCTACTGGACATCAAAACATTATCACACATATGATGTGTACAGTATGTTATCTGTCAGTAGTTTTCAGTTCGTTACAAAGGCTTCTCAGATATGGCCTTATCAGATATCTCCATCCTAAAATTAAAAAAAAGGCCTTATACCTTACAAGCATACTTTATTGTGTAAAGACAACTTAGGCATATACTTTAAAAAAGGCCTAGAGTATAAAATATTATTTGGAAAACATTGTTTATTTTAAATTACAGTATCATATTTTTATTTTATTGGTAAGTAGTTAATTAATTATGATTATTTTTTTCTTTGTTTCTATCTGTAAGGTGAATTTTATTTTTTATTGAAATTATTTATTTTTCAATACTTTCCATTTACTTGAATCTCATTTAATCATATATATATTTTTTTTGTAAAAAAATATTTTGTTAGCATGCATGTTTATGTTAATAAAATATCTGACTGTTTTAATCTTATTTTAATTTGTTAATTATTTTCGTAATAATTTATTACAATTAATAAACTTATTCATAATAAAAAAATCATACTTTATATAATTGTTTATCGATTTATTTTTTTACAGTTTTTTCCTATAAATTTCTAAGGGTCCTTATAGCAAACCTCCTAGTTCACATTTCTAAATACAATTTAAAAATGTTTTGCAAGAATGCGAATTCAAGAAATCGTTGCACAGAATGAAACGCGTAAATTCTTTTAGCTTCCATGAAGAACCAAAGTTAAGGAACTTTTCAATTCAACAAAAGGGGTTTTAAATCATCTTTACAAACAAACAAACTGTTATTCTATTAACAAACTTTTTTTGCAACCAAAAAAGTTGTTATTAGGCCGGATTTTAAATCGTATTATACGTGTTTGTTTTTGTTGTAGTTGTTGTTTCTGTCTCTCTGCACGTTTTGCATTGTAACTTTGCGTTTTGCAAATCATAACTGGTCTACATGAATCTTTAATCCCTTCTGCTTCCAATGAATGAAAATGTCAGAAGTGACTCACAACACAAATTTGCCTACAACTGTTAAGTTCTGCTTGAACGAAGCGCTTCTTGCACACCACAAAAGGTGAATGTGCTTCGTGCTTAAAATAAATTAAACTTAACTTGGTTTAATCTGCCCATTTTGTCATGTTTGTAATGACATATATATTAATTACTTTTTCTTCGGCGTTTGTCCCTGATTTATCAGGGGTCGACACAGCGGAATGAACCGCCAGTAATTAAATCTAGCCTAGATAGCCTGCAGGCGAGTCAACCATAAATAATATCTTCTTTATTTGACTAAAAATGATTCGGACAATCATGCTAACAGTGTGTTGTGAATCCTCTCTCAGGATGACCGCCTGTCGAACCTCACCTTTGACTTTGACCCTTAACCCTGCAAAGAAATGAATTTAATTTAGGCTGAAACGGTGTTGTCTCTGTGAAGGAGGTCAGAAACATAGATTTGGGAGGCTGCCAGGCATATGTAGCATAATAACGATTTGATTTAATAATTTTCTCGTTTAATTAAACTGAAAACAAATGAATAGAGAGGAAAATACGCCATAAAGGCTGTTTTAAACACGTTAAGTCATAGCCTATGTTCATTCATTCATTCGTTCATTCATTTTCTTGTCGGCTTAGTACCTTAATGTGGAGTCACCACAGCGGAATGAATCGCCAACTTATCCAGAAGTTTTACGCAGCGGATGCCCTTCCAGCTGCGACCCATAGCCTGTGTGTTATATATAATTTACATATTTTGACAACATTATTTTACCAACAACCTCTATGCCAAAAGTCATGAATAAATAATCCCCTTTTTCGTTTAATAAACCAAATTTCGTTTTAATTACCCGATTTTGTGCTTGAACATACACGAAAGGACAAATCTAAACATAAAAAAACCAAAATGTATAGATTACATTGCTAAAATTGGTAAATAAAATGAATCATACTTCAGTAATGCCGAAAACAGGATTTCTGTGGAATCTTTAAATATTTTATCACTGTCTTTAATATAAAATCACAAAACATCCGTAAAAATCTAACCATGAGTTCAGTACAGTCGCCGTGTGAACGCAGTCCCTTCAGCAACAATTAAAACCCGCCCCTCATTAAATATTCACACAGTCTCCGCCCACTCTGCTTTTATAAAGTTATATTTATTTCAGTTCCTATTATAATTTTATATTTTATTTTGTATCGCACATCTATTCTCATAAGAAAATGTGCGTTACAAAATGCTTAATTTTATAAGAGGCGTTTTTCTTAGGATCTCTCGAACTCTCGCGAGAACTCAGCTCAACCTCTATGATCCCCTCTTACTTAATCAGGGACAGTGCGTGTGGCAGCTGACAGTGGACTGCTGTAATCATGCTCAAAGCAATAAACAAGACAAATCTCAGGCAACTGGTAAGAAAAATCCGTCGTAATGACATAAACAAGTGCACATTTTAGTTTAAGGATGTTATTCTTGCTCTCTGCCATTTGTTGCTAGAAATACACAGCATTTATCAGCTTAGCACGCAGGCTAACTCAGTCAACAGAAGCCGAGCGACATGTCACTAAACTCCAATTTCTTTACATTTAAGCTCATTTTAACATATTATCTTTTATAATTACTCGTTAAAACGCAATGTCATGTTTAGTTAAGCCACTTTCAATCGTTATACAATATGCTAGCTAAGCTAAGCTTCACATATTCTCACAGTTTTGCTTCCTTTCATTGCGTTTGACATAAATATCGACTGTGACTATGTTTCTGACACTTTTGGCCATCTTTAGCATTAATATAAGCGAGTTTATTAGTTAATAAAGCCAATATGTTTGATTGATAAACAAAACTAGCTAAGTTAGCTGTCTGTCAAGGTTATGCAATATGTAAACAGTAGTAACTGATTGAACTGCAGCACTATTAAATGTGACCTACATTACAATTTACATTGTCTTATTGTAAAAAGTATAAGCTGAAGATTATATTTCATATTCCTAATGACTTTTAAGAACAATCTGGCTTCATAGTAACCTCAGCAGTTATTTGGGTGAAAGTTCATGCCAGTTGTCTATGTCTCACAGTGTCTGATTTACCATTTTTGATTTCTTTTTCTCTCCAGTCTGGCCTGATTCAGAGGTTTCAGAGCACTCTGGTTGTTGCCGAACACAATAATGAGACGTTGACACCGATCACATTGAACGCCATCACCGCTGCCACCAAACTGGGCAGTGATGTGTCCTGTTTGGTTGCTGGAACGAACTGTGCAAAGGTATTATCTCGTCTTTCCCATTGATTTATGTGAAGCAACTTTCTGGTGTCGGATCATGTGCTTATTTCGGAAAAAGGCTTAGCGACCATATTTTGACTATTTTAAATATTGAATGTTAAAGTCATTTAAAGAAAGACTGTTGTAAATAATAGTTCACATTGTTGATTTACAAAATAAAATTCTAACAAAAATAATCATGTTGCACTACTACACTTGATTTTCGTTTTACTGTTAAAAAAAAAGCATGTTAAATGAGAATCTGAAATATTTAATACTAAATCGTTATTTTTTTAAAAACTTTTTATTTTATTTTGAATACTTTTTTAAATAAATTGGTCTTACACTTAATATTTTCTGATTTTCATAGTATATGTATTATTTCCTGTACTTTTACCTTTAGGGATGCAACGATTAACCGATTTCACTATTAACCACACTTTAGAATTATCATCAAAAGTAAACCTTAAAACTATTTTTATTTTTTTGAATTTATTTTTGATAAAAAAGTTGTGTGTTTGATCTGGTTTTGCCGTTAAATAGCCAGAGAAGCTGATATGACAATAAATTAAATAGTCTCTCTCTGTCTCTCTCTCATTTTGCACAGGTTGCAGAGCAGCTGTCCAAAGTTCAAGGGGTGAAGAAAGTTCTGGTAGCTCAGCATGAAGCCTATAAAGGATTGTTGCCTGGTAAATGACTTTATTTGAGGTTTTGTTTACGAATTAGGAAGTGTTTTGTGGTATAAATAAATGGTATAAATAAAGGAAAAACTGATTTCTGTCTCTTTCGCAGAGGAGCTGACGCCACTCATCTTGGCGACCCAGAAACAGTTTAGTTTCACACACATTTGTGCCGGAGCTTCGGCTTTTGGAAAGGTAAATCTAACACAGAGATTGACTATTGGGCTGAAAGGTTTGACATTCTGTTGTTTATCAATGAATCTTCAAGTGTATGTGGGGAAAAAAAACATTGTGGTTACTTCATTCTACTGAGAAACATTAGATTAAATACATTTTTTAGTACAAATTATTTTTTTTCCTTTTATTTGTTTATTTATTTTTATTTATTTATTTTAATTATTGCAAACATAGAAGTGTTTTGCTGTGAAAACATCTAGTAACAGGTCAAAGTTTTTTTGTTGAAAATTACCAATTGACTTTTTTATTCTTTTAATAAAAAAAATAAAAAATAATGATTATTTTAGTAAAAGTTATTTTTTGTACTTTTTTTGCATTATTTTTTCTTAATATTATTATTATTTATTATAACTTGAATTTAGACTCATCATATAATATAAATAGAACATAGAACTTTGCTTATGGCAAACTTGGCTCCTCCCTGAACCGCCACCTTATTGTGGTGTAGGGGTTTAAATGCCTGAGTGATCCTAAGAGCTAGGTTGTCGGGGGCAAATGCCCCTGGTAGGGTCTCCCAAGGCAAACAGGTCTTAGGTGACAGGTCAGACAAAGTGCGGTTCAAAAACTCCTTATGAGTTCAACAACATCAAGGACTGTAGTGTCACCCGGTATGGCGCAGCCGGAGCCCCACCCTGGAGCCAGCCATGGGGTTGGGGCTCGTATGCGAGCTCCTGGTGGCTGGGTTTTTTCCCACGGAACCCAGCCGGGCTTAGCCCCAAGGAGCGACGTGGGACCATCCTCCTGCAGGCTCACTACCTGCAGGAGGAACCGTAAGGGGCCAGTGCATTGTGGAACGGGTGGTGGTTGAAGGTTAGGACCATGACAACCCAATCGTCAGGCACAGAAACTGGCTTTTGGGACATGGAATGTCACCTCACTGGGAAGGAAGGAGCCCGAGCTTGTGCGGGAGGTGGAACAGTACCGACTAGAGATAGTTGGGCTCACCTACACGCACAGCTTGGGCTCTGGAACTCAACTTCTTGAAAAGGGCTGGACTTTCTTCTACTATGGAGTTGCTCACGTTGAGAGGGGGCGGGCTGGTGTGGGCTTGCTTATGTGTTGGAGTTTTCCCTGGTGAACGAGAGGGTTGCCTCCCTGCGCCTTCGGGTCGCGGATAGGTCTCTCACTGTGGTATGTGCCTACGGGCCAAACATCAGTGCAGAGTACCCGGCCTTCTTGAAGTCCTTGGGAGGGGTGCTGGAAGGTGCCCAGACTAAGGACTCCATTGTTCTACTGGGGGACTTCAATGTCCATGCGAGTTATGACAGTGATACCTGGAGAGGCGCGATTTGGAGGAACGGCCTCCCTGATCTGAACCCGAGTGGTGTTTTGTTATTGGACTTCTGTGCTAATCACAGTTTGTCCACAACGAACACCATGTTCAAGCATAATGGTGTCCATCAGTGCACATGGCACCAGGACACCCTAGGGCGGAGGTGCATCAATGATCGGTCAATGATCGGTCAATGATCACCACCTGGTAGTGAAGTGGATCCGCTGGCAAGGGGGAAAGCTGGACAGACCTGGTAGGCCCAAGCGTATTGTGAGGATCCTCTGGGAAAGTCTTGCTGAACCTCAATTTAGAGGGATTTTCAATTCTCACCTTCGTAAGAGCTTTGACCAGATCCCGAGGGAGGCTGGAGACATGGAGACTGAGTGGTCCATGTTCTCCGACTCCATTGTTAACGCGGCCGTGAGGAACTGTGGTCGTAAGGTCTGTGGTGCCTGTCGGGGCGGCAATCCACAAATCCGGTGGTAGACATCGGAATAAGGGATGCCGTCAAGCTGAAGGAGTTCTACAGGGCTTGGTTGGCTTGCAGGACTCCCGAGACAGCTGATGGGTATCGACAGGCCAAGCGTGCTGCAGCCCGGGCGGTTGCGGAAGCAAAAACTCAGGCCTGGGAAGAGTTCGGGGAGACCATGGAGGAAGACTATCGGTCGACCCCAAAGAGATTATGGCAAAATGTCCAGCGCCTCAGGAGGGAAAAGCAGCTCCACATCGACGCTGTTTACAGCGATATTGGGGAGCTGTTGATCTCGACTGGGGATGTGGACAGGCGGTGGAAGGAATACTTTGAGGATCTCCTTAACCCCACCAACATGTCTTTCATTGAGGAAGCAGAGACTGGGGATGCAGTTGTGGACTCACCCATCACCCAAGTTGAGGCCACTGAGGTAGTTTGCAAGCTCCGAAGTGGCAAAGCAGCGGGGGTGGATGAGATTCACCATGTGTATCTTAGGTCTCTGGATGTTGTGGGGCTGTCGTGGTTGACACGTCTTTACAACATCGCATGGAGGTGGGGCACAGTACCTCTGGACTGGGCAACAGGGGTGGTGTATGCCCAAACAATCCACATATATGTTTTGAGCACATGACAGTAATTAATTCTGTGATTTTTTTTTTTTTTTTTTTTTTTTTTTTTTTTTTTTCTATAATCAGATTTGGAATCAATTTTTATAGTGTATATTTGCATTAAATATTGCTGCATTAAATTTGTACAAAAATATTTTGTCTTTTGTCTAAATAAATGTTCTGAATTGTCTTTATTTGACGACAGTTTTTTTTAATCATAATGCTCTAAATGTGCACAATGAAATACATTTTTATAGTTTATGTAACTTACGATATTAACGATAACTTCTAAAGCTTTGACTTCAGTTTTGTAATCTGAAGAACAGAAATAACTTTTGTAAATGAAAAAAAAATCTTTATGTACAAAAATATTTAATAAATATTTCCCCCTTTATTTAATTACATTTTAATTATAGTGTATTCATTACTTTGTTTTATAATTTAATGGCACAGTTTCATTATATATTACAGCATTATATTTGTAAAAACATAATTTGTCTTATTTTCTAAATAAATTTACTGAATTCTTTATCTGATGACAGTTTTTAATCATAATGCTTTAAATGTGCACAATGAAATACATTTTATAGTGCATTGATGACTTTTTTTTTTTGATTCGATGATACATTTGTTCAAACTTCTAAAGCATTTAACTTGTTTTTTCTTTTACAAATTTACTAATATTTGTTTTCTTTTTTCAAATTTGGATTGGCTTTTTATTTGATTGACCTTTATCAAGTTGTAAATTTCAACATTTTGGTTTAGTTTTGTAATTCTTTAAATAAACTATTTATTTTATTTTTTGACTTGATCTGTTTGGTGAACAGATTTAATATATTTTGTTTTGAAGAATTTTTTTTATAATGAGCTTTGCCCTAATTTAATATACTTTTTCTTTTGATATTTCTGTTTAGTGTAATTCTGTTTAATGACATAACATTTTAAACAAAAATGAAAGGTTTTTGTTTAATTGATTGTTACTCTTTTTTTTGTTAATAAAAACGTCTTAATTTACAAACATATTTAAGATATATTTTCTCCCTTTAATTATATTTTGGCAGTGTATTCATGACTTTTTTTTTTTTTTTAAATTGATGACATTTTTATTATCTTAAGCATTTTGTCTCATTTTTTTATTTACTGAAATGTATTTTTCTTTATTTTATGATCAGTTTTTATCCGATTGCTTTCCATATGAACAAAATATAAATACATTTTCGATTTTCTTTTTTGGTTATCAACTTTTATCAAGTTGTAAAAATTTTGATTCAACAAGGCTAATTTTGTAATTTTATGAAATATTAGTTTTATTTTTGACTATTTTCTAACCTGATGAATAGAAGCAAGATTAATTTTTGCTTTGATGGAATCGTTTTTGTAATGAACTTTGGCGTAATTTGATACTTTGACCTTGAAATCTCAATTTAGTGTATTTCTATTTAATGACATTTAACAAATTGTACAAAATTATGTTAACATCTTTTTGATTGATTCTCGTTCATTTATTTGGTAATTAAAACTTTATGTACATATTTAATATTTAAGATCTATTTACCCCCTTTATTTAATTAATTTTATTTAGTAATTTTAATGTATTTGTAATTTATTAATAAACCTTTATAAACTATTTAAATCATAATTTATTTTTTATATACATCAGTGATTAGTGTGGCTGTTTTACTTAATTGTGGACTGAGTAGTTGCTCTCATTCCAGAGTTATTCGATTATTTCCCAAAGGAAAAAGCACAAATGGGGAATGGATTAGAACCTCTTATACTGCCGATCCCCTATCAGACCTCTTTCTTCTGGAATTGTGGCAGAAGTCCGTCCTCAATAAGTGCGGCTCTATTATGCGCACGGTTATTTGTCATTCCACAGCCAAACTGTCAGGCAGCAGATCTAATGGTATTTAAATTGAATTGTAATACATTAAACAGTATCTTATGTAGCCTAACCCCAGACCAAAGAGATGTATTAGTCTCAATTTCCTCACTGGCTAAATGTATTTTATTTGATGGATTCTTAAGTGGTGGATTTGGTTTCATTATGTCACTATATAAAACACTTGAATTACCGCGATGCAATATTTTTCACCTCTAGACATAACTTAGAGCTCTTTTTGAGACTCAACCATATTTATTCTGTCTGCGATGCAGGACGGCCAAAGTTTTCAGACATGCGCTCAAACTGGTTTTTGATCAATGCCTGCCCAAATAACTCTATACCCAAACAAATCAAACTATAGGTAAAGATGAACGTCTTGTAATGTCTTAAGGTGAGCCACTACAGGAAAATATTTTTTTGGGATTTATAGCTTTTCAAGAAGTGTTTTTTCTCTTCTTCTAATGTATATAAAGCCTCCAAAATGCGCTTAAGTCTTTCTTTTGTCGCTCTTGATAAATATTTTGGTTGTAGATTTTAATTATAATACATATTTTTGAAGGTTGTTTCCTCAAAATTACCCTCCCCCCAATTTAACATGCATCAAACTCATATCTATATTCTGAAGCTTTTCACAGGGGGATTTGTTCATGATATGCCTGTTTATATTAGACAAACAATTATTTAAGAAAAATTGTGTGTGCGCGGGTTATTTATTAAGGTTTGATACAAATTCTTCAAATCCTCTTCGTTAAAACCTTTGAGACTGTTAAAAAAACAATAACAACAAAAAAGCTAGAAATTTTAACCTAATGTCAGTGTCGTTCAGATTTTTGTTGTAGAAATTTATGCAAATTAACATTTATTTGCATATTTAAACTTAACATTTTAGATTGTAATGCAAAAAAGTCTGCTATTCTTAATGTA